CCATTATCACAGAAACATGAAACTGAGAAATTACATTTCACAGGATTGGTCAGTGTCACATCTGACAAAGACGCCGTTTTTTCTTTTTCCAGCCAGAAGTGCAGAAGATGTGCATGACACGCTGTGAGGATTCCATTTCACTGTTCCCAGCTTGAATAGTTCACAGTGGAGCGGAGAATGTCCTGGAGAGGTTGACAACTTTTCTATAGGCATTGTGCTTTTTACAAGTGCTGGTATGTGGCGCTGCATCTGTATCTCGTTTCTGCTGGTTTCCCACAGCGTTGGGCTACATCGCCGCACGGTGAGGTGAGGCCAGAGGAGCGAGCCAACAATGAGGTCTGCTCCTCTGAGGAAAGGTCGCATAAAGGAGGTTTACGTCTTTGAAACGGTACCTCATGGGAACTCCACTTTATGATGAAGAGCTAAGAAAATCTGGGTTCCTATATTTTTGTTGATATCAGGAAAAATATGAATACCTTTATCTCATCTCAACTCAGCTTTGTTGTTGTTGTTGTTGTTGCACTGATAGAATGAGGTTCAGAAAAATTAGGACGCACAGTCAATACACCTGTTATTATTCGCACACAAACCTCATCCAGTGGAGGCTTCAACTACCAATCAGGCGCCTCGGATCAGCCTCACTGAGCCCAGGGCAGTAAATAAGTCTACGACGGACGAGCTGACTGACATCGCTGTCAAATGGATCGTGAGGAGACTGTAGACTGATTAATAATGAGGACAAGAGCTTCAACCAGGATCTGAGAGAAACTCTCCTTCGACAAACCACGACGAGACGCACAGTAAGGACTAAAAAATGTCAAAATGTACATAAAAAATGATTTACTTTGATTAATCATGAATAATCTTGACAAATTTAGATCTTGATTGATCACAATTTACTTGATTCAATTTTTTTCAACCTATCAACAGGTAAAGGGGAAATTGTTCAACTTCTAACTTCTTTGTGTAAGTCTGAATATAAAAAAATATGTGTATATAAAGTGACAGAAATACATTAAAAATGTCCATCTCTTTACACCATATTTTTTTATATTCAGACTTACACAAAGAAGTTAGAAGTTGAACAATTTCCCCTTTAAATGTTGGTGTTTTGTTCGTGCAGGGATTAAAAGTTAGAGATTAGAAAAGATTGAAAATCTAAAAGAAGCCTCTACTGTTTATTGCCCTTGGCCTGCAGTTGTAGGTGAAGCAGTGACACTGCACAGGTGCTGACCATCATCATTACGTGTGTGTGTGTGTGTGTGTGCTGAGACACATGCAGTCGTTAAGTCAAACTGGAGCAGCTGTGCAGCAGGAGGTTTTAAATTGAGTGAGGAGCAGGACAGAGAGAGCTCAGACTTCAGCAGGGTTTGAGAGCGGGAAGAAAGGGAAATGGAAGACAGATAAAAAAAACAAACTGCTTTAGATCAACTAAAACACAAAAGAGCACAGATACATGTGTGTGGTATTGAGCTGGGCCACACAGACCAGTTTCATTTTATTAATTTTCTTATTAAACACAATTACTGATCCACAATATGATGGGATGTACACTTGTCAGCGAAGCAGTGGTTTCCTTCAGTCCACGACATGAATAATATGTGATGATTCTGCTACAGACGTTATATACAAGCTAAAGAGTGAGGAACTGTTTTGTTTTTTGTTTTTTTGGTTCTTTTTCCCAAGTGGTGAATGCGACTGAATGAGTTCTACCGGCGCAAAGCGAGTGACGTGTAAACAGTACAGAGCATTTCTGTGTTTTTCTGTGGTTTCTCTTCAACAAGAAGTTGTGAAACGATGAACGGAGGCCACCTAAAAGCACAGAAATGACATGAACTCCAACCACATGACACGAGGCACCCGCAGCTGCTAAAAGGCTAAAAAAATAGAAATGATGAAAGAAGACAAACGAGAGAACAGAACAAAGATTCACAAGTATGAGGGCCAAAAAAAAACCTCTCCCGTCTTGATATTTATATTTTATATGCACCCCCCACCCCCAACCCTCACTTCGTACTTAGACATTTGATATTCATTTATGCGTCTCCCCCCTCTGACTCACACAGCTTTCTCCTTCATGGTTTTACAAGCCTGTTTGTTCTGCGTGTGTACGATTCCTCCGCGTCCTCCTCGTTGGTTCTGTGTGTGCGCGTGTGTTTGTGTATGTGTGTTCACGCTCATGTTGGCCTTTTACCAGATGTATCCCCCGTCATCCACCTCTCCCTCTTCCTCCTCTGCCTCCTCTGCTGTGTCCTCAGCTTCTTTCTCCTCTTCATCTTCCCATCCCGCCGCGCTGCCGAAATCACCTGAATAAGTCATTTCGTCATCTGCAAAAAGACGGACAAAACCCCATGCAAAGCAAAGGGGACAAAAAAAGTGAGGATCGCGTCATCTGCTGCTTATCTTTAGTGATAAATTCAGCTTCACAGCCTGACTTTCTCAGCTCTTTCCTGGAGCCATTAGAAATGCAAAAATCAATTTAAAAACACTGACTGTGCCAGTAGAAAAGCGGGGCATGTGTTTGACTTTGTCTGGATTTTAATAGCTATTTCTAAACCTTGCCAGGGGAGCCATTCTTATCAGGCACAAGTTCAGTCCAACCAGTCCTCATTTATCTCGAAAGACTTTTCTCACAGCGACAAGCGGCGCTTTAGAATGCAAATGACTCCGGACACATGAATGTGGCACCGGTCCCTGCAGTGAGTTATGGTGCAGTGGACCAAAGTATCAGCATAAAAGCGGCCTTGTACAAAATGCACGTGCAGAAGTGGGCCAACCCACAGCAGAGGTAAATCTCTTGGAAGATACCGGACTGGACTTACCGCAGTTTGGTTTTCCACGGATCCTAGATCCGGCAACTTCGCCTCCATTTTGGTCCACGCACCAGCACTCGCCCCTGTCGCACTGCTGCCTCCTGTAGAACCCGTCTTCATCGCAGCTGGGAATGAACTGACCTGGAGTCCACGCAGAAATATAACAGAAATATGAAGGAGAGAGGGGTGACCTTAAAACAAAGTCCAGACCCAGAAATGACAAAAGCAGCCAAACACCTCCTGCATCTTCACACATGGTGCACAGCCCAGGTGACAACGTACTGTATGTGATATATACACACATCCTGCAGACAATCCATTATTACATTAGGAAATATATGGGCTCATGTACAGTAGTCACTACTCCAGGTGTTTACTGCAAAATATCAAGGATCCTGTTTGAGTTGTTAGCCATTACGGCATTGACAGAAAAACTGATTCGGCGACGCGTCAACCTGGATATCACGACGTTCACTTAGGGATGTTGAAAAGTCGAAAAAGGGCAAAACTGAGGTTTAAGTTTTAGACCCAGTCTCGCTAAACTTGTGAAATCAAGATGACAAAGACCCCGAGCTTCGGAAAACATTGTTGACAACAGTTACGCAGGAGGATGGGATAATCAGATAGTTACTCTGTACTTGAGTAGCTTTTTCACCAAGTACTTTTTTACTCTTACTCAAGTAATTATTTGGATGACTTGATTACTTCTACCTGAGTAATATTCTTCTGATATAACAGTACTTTTACGTGAGTAAATTTTCTATTTGGATGACTACTTTTTTACTTCTAACTGAGTAATATTCTTCTGATATAAGAAGAACTTTTACGTGAGTAAATCTTTTGGCTACTCTACCCACCTCTGGTGACAAGTATAATCAACGCATACCATAAACTATAAATAGCTTATAAATAGTCGATACAAAGTATTGCATACGTATTGGTTTCCTTAGTGACCAGGAACCAATAAAAAGAGGAAGTAAATTACATTTGATTTCTCTGTATATTTCTGTCTACATTGCAGGTAGTTTTGCTGCAAGATGGGGCTGAATTAGTGTCAGGTCAGCACCACTGCAGCATGTGGAGGTGGTGTGTGTGTGTGGGTGTGTGTGTGTTGTGGAGGTGTGTAGATAATCAACTCTGAATGAATTATATTTATAAAAACCTGGGCAGTTTAAAGACTAAAGATGAAAAAAACAAAACAAGGTTGAACGAAACATTTTCTGTGCGAGGATCAAGGCTTGAAATATTGGTGTTTTTTCCCCAAATTTACCTGAGATGTTTTACATTCACAGGTTATTTTACTGTAACACCAAAGCAGGAAACAATAGCCAAATATATTGCGACAGCAACACAGTGCGTTAAGTCTTTTGTCGGAGCGTGTGAGTGTGTGGCTGACAGACTGCTCCCCGCTCACTGCTGTGTGTCCTTGGAGAGTCCTGAGTCAGAGCCCAGTCAGCCAAATCCTGTGGGTAGGACATGCGTACAGAAACACACACACACACACACACGTACACACACTCATACAGGCATTTACACCACATTTGCTGGTATTTGATCATTAACAATTTCATCTTAGCATCAAAACAATCGTTAAAACCCAACCGTCCCGTGAGTTCGCACCGATGTCCAGAAAGTCCCCTTCAGGTGTGTGTGACCTGCTAAAGTTTCCCTCATCATTTCAATAGCCTCACAATAACGACTTTGAACAAAAACGTCCTCTCGCTCTCACACACAGACGCCGTCTGACACATTAATCCAAAAAGCCTCCGACGGCTCCTTTCCTTAACCGTCCGTCAGTATCAAGTTGTAAACCACAAGAGTGATGAGGGACTTAATCCCCACCTCCTGCTTGTCATCTGCTGAATAAAACCCTTCAACCGAAGAAAAGGCCGAGCCCAGTCCTTGGGCTAAAAGTGCTTTATGAGAAGTTGGACACCTACCAAACTTTCTCTTGCCGCCGTCCAGGACTTGGATCCTCTCGATTTCAGCCAGACAGGGAGGCTCTGAGACGAGAGGAGAACGGTTTTTCATGAAACAGAATTTAGGTTGGATTAAAAATATTGAAGTGCTTTTTAAAACCATAGATTAGAGATTATTAGAGGGAACATGGAGAGTACACAGGTGCAGATGGTTGTTAACGGCACTGTGGAAGCGTCTCTAGTACACAGGTGCAGATGGTTGTTAACGGAACTGTGGAAGTGTCTCTGGTAACTACAGGGCTGTATCCTTCATACAAATGTCTTGTTATCATTTAAAGGTGGTTCACATTAATGAGCAAAAACAAAAAGTTCAAAAAATTACCACAGTAACTTTGACATCCCATTTCCTACTTTGTTTGAACCTAATGGGTAATTACTAATTTTTAAACTAATGTCCGAATTGTCAACTTTGACATTATTCAGTGTCGGCAGCCTGAGCCTTTGACAATAACTTCTACTTTTCCAAATTTTAATCCCATGGATTTCCTGCTGCAGCCAAGGACACAAAGCTGCGTTCTGTGTTGGTTTACATGTGTAATCTGTGAGAGCTGTGGGAGAACCAGGCTGAGGGCAAACGGCGGGAATTCAGTTTGTGCCAGTGCTACTGGCCATTTAACCTCCAAGGAGAAACGGGAGGGAGATAAACAGAGAGGATTGGCAACCGTGGCACAAAGGGTGGCTCCACCTGAGGGCCGTTAAAGGCCTGAAAGGAACGAATGTAGGGCAAAGATTCGAAAGTTTGTTCTCTGGCAAGAAAGTTTTTCTTCCTTTTTAATGTTCAATCTAATCTAGTCTAAGTATCAGGCTGAAACCAAACTCACTCTCTCTCCAGAAGCACAGACACCACTCGGCGGTGGAAACCTTTCCGTCCCTGTAGGAGTCGCAGGAATTGAAGAAAGGACGGATGCAGATCTCGTACTTGTCCAGGTTGATGGCGGCCAGTTCTGCTTGGTCCAAGTACAGGTCACTGTTGGTGTCCAGCTTAGAAAACATCCAGCCTATGGAGTCCTTACAGCTGGCCACCAAGCTCCGGTCCAGAACTGCAAACACACCGTTATTTTAAACATCTCATCGAGAGATGTGAACAAATGAAACCCTTTCATTGTGCTCACGTTATGCTAGCCTGGAGGGCTATCTTCACATCGAGTAATGCTAGCTTATGTTAAGCTTTATCAAGCTAGCCTTGTAGGCACAAGAAAGTTTATTGTTTAGACTTTGACAAACTTGGACTGACTCCCATTTCTACTTTGTAAGAGGTTTTACTGCACCACGCGTAGGTGTACGTCCCTGTATGCACTGACATATCATAATGTATGGGCGATTTATTAGAGGGAAACCACATTTGGTTCCACTTTCGGCTCATTTTCAACCACATACAAAACCTCTAACCAAGCGTTTGGTTTGGAGGTGAAAAACGATGAGTGAAGCAGCACCGGCAGATTTATTATGGGGTGTATTGTATAGAGTGGATTTTGTACTATGGTCGGAGATAGTTAGATGTCGCAGATTTATTATGGGGTGTATTGTATATCTATCTATCAGAGATAGATAGATGTAATTTGTAAAGACATATTCTTGGGTAATCTACAGTAGAGTAACATTATCTCTGTGGTGAACAGTCACTCCTGACTGATATAGTTGTGGCTGCAGTTGTTCTGGTCCCAGAACTTGGTACCATTATCTATTATATATATTAATGTTAATTAATAACACATTCGTTAACCTCTTTTCCTAATGAGTACCATTTTAAAGACACCTGAGGACATTTCTTTTTGCCCCCTGATGTAGGGGAGTAGATATTACCAAAATATTTTGGCCAAAAAAATGACATGCTTAACCCAGAGTGAATCCCACAATATTGGTAGAGGGGGTCCTGGACTTATGTTGGCGTTCCATTTCTACAATGCGACAGTAACTTGATGTAGGTCGGAATTCACATACATACATAATAATTAACTCACTAATGCTAATACAGTTGTAACATCACAGTCCAGGACATCAGACATCAGAAAAGTCTGACTTGTGTTTGAAAGCCCAACTAGTTCTCCAGTTTCAACGCCCTACTTTGGAATAATGGAACAAGATTTTCTTAAAAAAATGTATGTGAGGTGGCAACGTAGCCACGAAACGGCGCAGGTCAAGAGTCGTTAATCGAGGACTTTCTGTAATTTCTTATCTTAATCCTGAAGCAGTCGCCCTTAAAAAGCTCCATGTTGTGAAAAGCTGATGATTCGACATTCTCTTTCTCATCGCTGTAGCTCTGACCTGATGTAGTGCTGGCAGCAGTGGTTCTGGTTCCAGACTTGGTACTGTTGTTCTGCTTAGCATTGCTCTGCAGCAGCTGGAACCAGTCCCTGAGACGCTCTCCCAGATCAGCCAGATCCTGACCAGTACAGGTGTCTGTTCAGAGCAAAGAACAGAACAGGAACGTGTTGCTGTGATTCGCCTGTGAATCGTTCTTTCTCTGATCGTTCGTAGTTGTTATTGCGTGTCATCCTACCGTGTTTACTCTCTGTGGTGGTGGGAGCAGCAGTGGGACATGGACACAGACCCGAACACTTCAGGGTCAGCTCTTTCCCCGTAAGACAAGCCTGTTGTTCCAGCTTACACTGGAACACGGACAAGCACACAAATATACATTACACACATTGCGACGACAAAGACGTGAAGTGAAATGACTTATAGCTGCGACAGAGGATCAAATATTCATGAGGTGACCAACTGTTCGGCCCAATTCAAATCTGAAACAAATTGCTCCTGGAGGCGGTTTCTGACCTCTGTGTGCAAAGGAAGGTCAAGAATGGTGATGCTGAAGACTAAGCATAAATCAATAAACACACAGGATTCTGCCACCTCAGGCCATCAATTGGTTCTCCTGCAGACATACTGTACATAATAACCATTGTCTCAGGTTCCTCCCCCCTTCACGCAGCTCAAGGTGCGCAGTAAACCACCGTCGGTGGCAGGAAAGGACAGTGGACAGGAAAATAAAGCTGCTGATTTATACATACATGGAAGTGATGCTAAGATTCTGACACATGACTCTTTTATTACCTATGTTGGAGGGATTTTTTTTTTATTATTATTGATGCATGTAAAAGTAAGGAAGTCTTCCTTATTATTATTGATGCATGTAAAAGTAATAAACACTAAGGAAGTCTGTGTGTTAACAACATCTCCCTCTCTCCTGCAGGGGGAGGTATGACTTTTTATTCCTAAATCTACTTCAGGGCTGTTCAACTTATGTGTTTTATACGTAACACTAAATTCTCAGCTTGCATGCTAACAGCAAAAAATAATAATAATAGTAGTGCTGATTGAATGCTCATTAAGAAATAAATCAGATGTTACTCAACAGTTACTCAGTACTTGAGTAGTACTTTTTTACTCTTACTCAAGTAATTATTCGGATGACTACTTTTTACTTCTACTCGGGTATTATTCTGAAGTAACAGTACTTTTACTTGAGTAAATTTTTTGGCTCCTCTACCCACCTCTGGTAATTAATGCATCTATATCTGTGTAAGAGCTAGCAGCAGCCTGATGCTAACTGTGCCTGTGTGTAGCTGGGTGCTTGGCAGGAAGAGCACACTAGGTGTGTCAGATATTTTTAGCTGAAAGCAGCTGCCTGCTCTGTCTGGAGACAGCCATGATGTGAGCAGAGTGAGTCACCGACACGAAACCCCGCGACCTGACCGTTGTCGGAGAGCAGCTGTACGGGACTTTAAAGTCAACTGCTGTCCATCAGAAGGAACTACTTATTTTTTTTATATATAACACATACAAACATTTAGCTTTTGGAACTAGTGATTGGGAACTGGATCAGAGAAATGCCCTTTTGTAATAAACTGAGGTAAAGACACAGCAGGACCAGCTGAGTGAACCATGTCCTTTCTTTGAACTTGCAGATCCTTGCAAACTTGCAAAAGAAAAAGAAAACACCAACAGGGGGCAGTACTCCTGCAGACAAATTTTCCACCATTCCCTCACGATGGCCGATTAAAATAATTACACAACCTTTTCATATTTTGCCCTGTTTCACTACCAGAAACTACTGTGTTGTGTTTCCTATCGCCGTTTCCTGTTCACCTTTGAGGCGTAGTTGTGTCCGTCCGACCCACACACTGGTCCAGTGGAGGAGATGGGACAGGGCTGACAGTTTCCATCAGGAGACCTGAGAGCAGGCTGCTTCAGTCTGCAGCAGGACGGAGGACACAGGAACCTTAGTGTCACTGATTCAGCTCACAATTACACACATTTCCAAACACACACACACTCACCTGTGATCAAGTTTCTTGCGGTTGACACACACGGCCCTTTGGTAGCCCTGGGCAATACACACCTTGTGTCGGCTGCACTTAACCTTCTGGCAGGGGTCCTTGGTGGTGTCGACGTCTGGGAAAATGTGTAAAAAGAAAATTGATTATAAAAGAAAGATATATTCTGTCAAAGAATAAATGTCCGTTACAGGAGTTTGTTTGTTTTTGTTTTGTTTTATCTAAAATAATTTTCAGCTTTATACGGACAATTTGTCACAGATAAGAATGTGTTGCTGCAGAGCTCGAGGTTTGTGTGAAGTAATTCCAAGAACTCTGAGATCAATATTCGACACCAGTGCACTCCATAAAAAAGGAAGAACTGAGGAGGAGAGCTTCTCACACCTCACTGACTTATCTCCCTGTTCTAATATCTCTTTAAAATTAATGAGCTGCTAGTAAACACACTCATTCCACTGTAGGCTGAGCCCTGGCTCGTGCCCTCCCTCCCCCTCCTCACCCCCTCATCCATCACACTCCCTGCCTGCATCTACTGCAGGAGTGCACGTCAGCAGCACAAACACACTCGTATGTCACGGATGTCTGTTCCTCCCGGAGCAGACGGCCTCCAGGAGCTCGACCTGGATGTCACACTCTATTCTCCTCAACTCCCCCGCTCCCCCGGCTGTACAGTTCACCTGTACATGGTTTATTCCCAGGTCCCTCGCTCACTCACTCACTCAGCTCTCCTCCGTAAGATGCAGATTCTTGTAAATCCTGTATTCATTCATCTCTTGCTCCGGGTGCATTTGAATTTTACAGCACTGTTATAATTGAGTTATAAGGCTCTGTCTCTCTCTGTCTCTCTCTGTCTCTCTCTGTCTCCCTCTGTCTCCCTCTGTCTCTCTCTGTCTCCCTCTGTCTCCCTCTGTCTCTCTCTGTCTCCCTCTGTCTCCCTCTGTCTCTCTCTGTCTCCCTCTTTTTCTCTCTGTCTCTCTCTGTCTCTCTCTGTCTCCCTCTGTCTCCCTCTGTCTCCCTCTGTCTCCCTCTGTCTCCCTCTGTCTCTCTCTGTCTCCCTCTGTCTCTCTCTGTCTGTCTCTGTCTCTCTCTGTCTCTCTCTGTCTCCCTCTGTCTCTCTCTGTCTCCCTCTGTCTCCCTCTGTCTCCCTCTGTCTCCCTCTGTCTCCCTCTGTCTCTCTCTGTCTCCCTCTGTCTCCCTCTGTCTCCCTCTGTCTCCCTCTGTCTCTCTCTGTCTGTCTCTGTCTCTCTCTGTCTCCCTCCTTCTCTCCACTCGTCTCTGGTGGCTTCATACATATGTGCTTCACTGCATCTGGGGGATTATTGAAGTCAACTGACAGATATCTGATTTGAGAGCCAAATCCTAAACAATACACCCCGCTGTCGAGGCCGAGCGGGTGTCTAACTGACAGATGAATCTGTTAGAGAGGAGATAGAGTGAGGCCTGGAGACATTACTGCCCACATACAGACTCCTCCTCATCCATTTAGACTGTCAACACTGCGGTTCTATTCAGGCTGATTCATTTTCATTTGCAAGGAAGAAAAATAGAAAGAAAAAAAAAACCAATCTGGTCCTGGGAGAACGTCTCAGCTGTGTTTCAAAACTCATTTCACTCAAAAAACATCAACAATTCTCAGACTCAGAATTAACAGCTTTAAGAGTCTGTAGTAAAAGCAGTTGGAGGAACAGTTTTACCAACGTGTGACTGAGAACCTTCTGCTGATGAAGTTCTCACTAAATGACACTGCTGTTTTGCAAGGCTTGGTTTTGACCAGGTCTCCAAAACTGCTGCTTGAAATACAGCCCTGGACCGTGCCAGAGCTCTCCACGTGTATACTGACGGTTTTTTAGATGGTTATTAATGCGTTGTCACCAGTGGTGGGTAGTAATGAGTTACATTTACTCTGTTACATTTACTTTACTTTTTTACTCTTACTCAAGTAATTATTTGGATGACTACTCTTTACTTCTACTTGAGTAATATTATTCTGAAGTAGCAGTACTTTTACTTGAGTACAATTTTTGGCTACTCTACCCATGGTTGTCACCCAACCATTCAACCATCCATCCATCCATCCATCCATCCACTATGGTGATTATTGGGTGTTGGACAAATTCTAACAGTCAACGTGTGACACTGAATTGATCAATGATCCTGTTCTGTTTCTACTTCCATCTTGACGCCTCACTCAGACTCTCTCCTGGAGATTCAGACGTGTTTTCTTTCCTGTACTTGTCGACGTGTGCCGTGATGTGTCAACAAACGACGGCGGTGAAACCTGACAACCGGTATTTCAGGTTTTGACATTGATGACAAGGTGAGACTGAAAGTGAAGGTCAATGTAAAGGATGTTTTCCTTTGAACCTGCCCCTCAGACTGTAGTCAAAGAGAAGGTCAAGCGCTCTCTGCTCCTGCTGGTCCAGACTTCACCTCTGCCGTTTGGTTTTTCTGTTATTTTCAACCTTTGAATCTCACAGGTTGTGTGGGTGGTGGGTATTTCTGGAACAGGAGCTGTTCACATGTGGAGCGGCATGAACAAATCCCTGTTCTGCTCTCCCCAGTCCCGGTTGGTTCCAACAAAGTGGAGTACTTTCAGTAACTCCCAGCTTTCCTTCTCTCTGTTCCTGCATTTTCTCTGTTGTTTTGTTGCAAACGACCGTCTTTTTTGGTTTCCTCTGGTTTTGTTTCCATGTCCTAAATCCCAGTTAGACCCTAGGATGAAGCTGTCATTCTTATTTTAGACGACAAAGATGTAGACCGTCCAGGAGTGGAGTACATACAGCCTGAGGAGAACTTGATGAAGACATCCATCAGATGATCCTCTGAGAACTTCAACTTCTATTAGCACAACATTTGCAAATAACTCTTGTTAGTAACGTGTGGTTAAAATGCTGGCACCGTGTTGTGTTGTGAACACAGAAACATAAGGCGGCTGCCTGAGCCTCATGTTAATTTAACAGGCTTCCACAGATTACAGCAGTGCCTGCGATGATGAAGTTTCCATAGCAACAGGCTCTCTGTGGTCCAGAAATCATTTCTGGGTTGACTGTGATTTGCAGCTCAATCTGCGGTTCCTGAGACGCCCGTCCATTTGCTTTGGAACCCCCTGCTGTGCAATCATGCCCACAGTCCACCTGTCTTCCGTCTTTGACATTTCTTTGTCTTGGGATTCCTTTACTTTTGCTCTCTGTTTGGCTCTGCCTGGATGTGGATCATTATCATCATCCCACATCCCCGATCTATCAGCGCTGTCTCTCTCTCTCTCTCTTTTTCTTCTCGAACACCCGCAGCAGCAAACCTCAATTCAAGCTGCAAATTCACTACAAAGTACCAAAAAAGCAGAAGCTTTTTCAAGTTTCTACGCCTTTGTTGTCTCTATTTCTGATTCAGTTCAAATCATTTGCTTGATGACATTTGGACGACCTCCAGGAGTGAGGCGGCCTGGGCTGCTCCGAGTGCTCGGCCACCTAGCGTTGGCATCTGTAAGCGTGCTCTTTTCTCAAATTTTTACTCGAATCTAGAAGCAAAAATTTGCTTGAAGTCTCGCTCGTATCTCGAAATACTCGTATGTCGGGACGCTCGTACCTTGAGCTTCCACGGTACTGTTATCGAGCTCTTGGTCCCTGTTGTTTGAAAACTCATCGGTACTCGGTAACCTCCTTTTTTGTTTGGTGAAAACAGTTCCTGCGTTGGAAGCCGTGCCTTCACTGAGCTCCTTGTTCTTTGTTCTAATCCATCTGGATTTGCACGCATTTTGTCCCTGCAGATTAGGGATCAGTGGAACAAAGCTCAGGCCACATCTTCATCATGAAAAAACCCATATCTTCTATTTACACACTCAGACACTAATATCGTCAGTGCTATCTAGGAGACAATCGTGTCCGTGAGGTTTCACATCTCAGACCCAGTCCTGCGTCTGTACTATCAGGAAAAGGAGCCGTGGTGAGGCAAAAAAGACTAAAGGTTGCGCCGTGAGCAGATTTGGAGAAAAGTAAATACGTTTAAAAGTTAATGAGTCTCGTATTCTCTCTTTCTGTTATCTCCAAACTTCTAAGAAACCGGATAATTGTGGGGTGCAGTGTTGACGTCTGACAGATAGGGGGCCGCACTATTAAGACATCTTCAGTTTTTTAACATCATGGTTTGTGAAGTCTGTGAAACTGGTGGTAGAATATATACGTCAGCCAATCAGAAGCTCTGGATGGCTTTTGGTTACCCAAAACCATTCAATCTTCTGCAGTGCCACAGAGGGAGTTCTGGCCAATCCCAGAAGTCATTGGGTGAGGGCGGGACACATCCTGCGTAGGTCACCACATACTGTATAGAAACCACCAGTTACACTCACAGCTATGGTCAGTTGTAAATCTGTGCTAATTTCAGAGTTCCTGGAGAGGTAACCAATAATTCTGCAAACAACTAGAACTTTTTTTGGTCAGTTGTAAATCTGTGCTAATTTCTGTGCGAACTTTTTTTTTCTTCGATGATCTGGAGTCAGAATCGATGGAAACTTTTACTGTAGCTCAGACTCTAACCTCAAACTCCAAGGACTCAACCTGGACTTTAGTCAGATTTTTTAAATATTTTTTGGCAACTTGGACTTTGACTAATACACTGAGCACACAACTACACATGTATCTACTGAGTAGAGAATCCTTATACCTTCTTAACACAACGAGGAGTTACCTGCAGTAGCCTTTAGCCACCACAAGGAGGGTGTTGTTGATACCTATTTATAAGATGCTCCTGCGCTACTGACAACAGGGTTTTTTTAATTCACAATCACAGACAAGTTGCACTCTTCATCAATGCCTGAACATTTGCCGTTTATCTCTGTGTATGTGACGCATGTGACGCACCGCAGGACGAGCTAAACTTTAAGCCCTGTAAAGTGTGGACTCAGCGTGTCTTTCTCTCCCAGTGTCTGCCATTGATCTTAACCCATTGATCCGCAAGAAAGTGTGCGTTCACCACTCAGCCGGCCCAGAAAGAAGGCTTTTTTTTTTTTTTTAATGTAAATGTGTTCTGAAGTGTGTCTCAGCTTGGCCGTGCACGTTGAACATTTACTTGTTTGTTCTTACAAGTCCAAATTACCACAGCTCCCCGCGGCGCTCAGAGTCTTAAGAACACGGGCTGATTGAATCAGTAGCTGGATTGATGAATTGACTGTAGAAATCCACAGCAAATTACCCCGACCTCTCCCTCACTCCTGCACAGTGCCAGCTGAAGTGGAGTCAGCCGCGGCTGTGTCTGAATGCAAATGTCTCCCTCCGTCTGCTGCTGGCTCTGACTCCGTGTTGGGAGTGTTGACAGTTCAAAAGCTCTGTCTTTCTCAGGGGGTGTTGAGTCTCCCCTGGCTGTGGAGGGAAGGTTCACTGAGGAAGGAATCACACTCATCTTTTCTTTTTTCTTTCTTTTTTTTAAAGCTTTCTGGCTCTTCCCTTTTTGTGTGGAGAGATGGTAAACTTGTGTGAAAATGAGAGCGAATGTCAACGAAATGTTGATTTTGATGCAGCCTGACTTTAAGATTGTGAAGAGCCATTTATCTGTTAACCTCAGGCATCCATAATGAATGCTAGCACCAGGGAAGACGGCTCCATCTGTATATATATACACGTCAGTGACATTTGTCCAAATTGTTGAAGACGGGAATAATTTCAAGTTTAAATGTAAAATATTAATTTACTAACTTTTGTAGAGACATATTTTAAAAGTCACAAACTTTTGTGACTCAAGTCAATAGACATTATTCGTAAACTCCTGAGGGTCGCGACCCAGTCTTTGGGAAACAATGCATTATCCTGTTAGCCTCCTGTGATGGCTGATCTCATCGTACCCACAGTGTCAATACCTGGTTCTGGCTCTAGGCTTGAACTGTAGTTAAAGCACAGCAGAGCTGATGTGTGATTGGTGGTAAGACACAGTTGGTCCAAACACAAGATCTGGGAATATTACTAATAAATAACATATTCAGTATCCAGTGTTAGTCTTCTCCTTCAACCTACAGTTCCATCTTCATCATCATCATCATCATCCTACCAGAGCGTTGTATTGTCACCTGACAATGACTCTGTCCACTCACCCCCGTCTCAGTCTCTCAGTTCCTGTTGTTAGTGCAGCCTTTCCGGCTTTTCATCAGAAACCATAATCAGTCTTTTATGAAGCCCTCGGAAATTGTCGCTAATGGACCCTGTCATTTAGCTGACTTTATTTCAAGCTGCAAATCAAGTCACAACGGTCGGAACGAGCCGCTTTGTGCCATGACTTCATCTCACCGCCGCTCAATTAAGGCTGGAGACACAGCAGAAGTCGAGGAGGAGACTTCACACCGCCGGCATCTCCGCACACTCTCTCTGATCTGCTGCAGCAAATTAGAGGAAAAGAGGAAGCAGCAGGAAGGGGGTGTGATAGGGCTGGAGTTGAGCCAGTGTTTAGTGTTTCTTAGAGGAAGCACAGCGGGGGGTAAAAACAGCACCAGCATCTTAAGACACACACTCATTAACACAGTCCAACACTGAGGACCTGGGACCATATACTCCAGGAGGAATCGAGGTCACAACCAGGCCACGGAGCCTGTCGATACGCTTCAAACACATCCGTAAATCACGACGTTCGGTTTCACTGCCCACACTCTCATCCCATCCTCTGTAATTAGCTTATTACTTGGCTGACATGAAATATTATCATTATGTAGTGACATAATTCAGTTGTTTTAGACATATTGACATGGTGAGAAGTACAGCGTGGTGTTCAGATAAATAAACCAACCCCCGATCTGTTGTTTATCCTCGGTGGTAAAAAGTCTTTAGAACCAATACTTTAGTCTTTTGTTCTTTTTCTTGTTTTGGTTTTTTTCACTCACCAGCGCCACCAATGTCCACAAAGGTCATTTGCTCAACTTTATTGATGGACTCAGCCATGTTAGAGCCATTGACTAACGTCAGCTTGGCCAGATATAGGTCGCATATGAGCAAAGAGATCAGATCTGGGCCACATTTGCCTGCAGTCTGAACAGACAGGGGTCACAAATATATTTGTCCAGGATTTTTCTGGTCCGGACACTAAAATAAAATGAAATAAAAAATCAATCAATCCAGTCGCAGGCCACATTGGATGGATCTGTGGGCCGGATTTGGCCCCCGGGCCACCGCTTTACAGTATCTGGTCAGTGACATTAAAGTGATTCAGTTTCTTTCAGCATTTTTGCAGCACTCATTTGTACATTTCTAACTAAAATCCTGGGCGTCTTCAAACATCCGTCCAGTTCTTATGTACCGTCTTTGGTCTTTTGTCTGCTCTACCTTAAGGGAGTGTCGCAGCGTGAGATGAAAGAGGATTAGAATCTAACATACGTCATGGAAAATTCCTCAACCACACCTACAGAGGCCTACGCAAATGATACATGTTTACTACTACATACATACATACATACATACATACAGTACATACATACTGCCATCTTCACTTCTTCAATATCCTAAAGCCCTGAAAAATGATTTTGTTTGTGTGATTGCATTTTCCAAAAGCAAAAACTTCAATATCCTAAAGCCCTGAAAAATGAAAAAGCCTGCACACAGATATGTCAAGAAGTAAATTCTGATATTTGTACACTTGACTTTCTTCTATCAAACTTGCTCTTTGGAGGCTTTGCCGATGACTGTAACCAGTGGTGGGTAGTAATGAGTTACATTTACTCCATTACATTTACTTGAATACATTTTTTTTAAATAAAATACTTCTAGGTGTAGTTTTAAATCACTCAAGTAATTATTTGAATGGCTACTTTTTTACTTCTACTTGAGTAATATGAATCTGAAGTAAAAGTACTTTTACTTGAGTACAATTTTTGGCTGCTCCACCCACCTCCGACTGTGACACGTTCGTGTTTGCACTAAAAGCCTTCTCTGAGCAGTAACACAGACACAGGTGAGACTTACTGTCGCTGGCAGATTGATTTTCATCCCAGGTTCGGACGTAGTCGTCCTGTGGGAACAGAAGAGCAGTTATTCATGCGGAAGTGAACACACAACACACTGAGCTAACTGCTAACACACTGTTCACAATGCAGAGCTGAGCACACGGTTGTTGTGGATGGCTCGACGCCTTCACCCTGTCATCCACACAGAGGAGAAGTGATGTCGCTTATGTTATTTTCCTGTACGCTGACTATAATGCGAGCATTAGTCTTGGAGAGGGATAATTAGCTGAAGTGAGTGGGTAAATCTGCACCAAGTGTCTGTGGGCGAGACACATGGCAGTGAGGTCAGTTGTTTTTCATGTAGAGTTGGCATGTTGTTTTTTATTCTTGATTAGAACAATGATGATTCACCTAACAATGTGTGACTTGTTTGTCTGACCATGAAAAAAAAAAAAAAAAACAGGGGAAAAATAACACACGTCACAAATGTCATGGAGGAAAAAAAAAACAACAAAACAAATGTGGATAAAATAATGATAAACAACGAGTAAAACTGACCTCCACCTCCTGGAACGACAGCATACGGAAAGAACAGACAGATATTAGCCAATTAAAGGGTGACATTTAAATACGAGGTCAGTTCACTTGTCATAACAACGTACCTGAAATATAACGTTTCTTTAAAATATTTAAAGTAAAACTGGTAACAAATATCATTTATGAACAAATTCCCTCCCTAACCTGTAGGGTTTGCTCTAAAACTCAAATGTTATAAGTTTAAAGTAATGTATATTACAGATTTATATATTTAAAAAATGCGTTCAGTATTTGGTGGATTATGTTACTCAACAGAGTTACTCAGTACTTGAGTAGTTTTTTCAAGTACTTTTTTTACCCTTACTCGGGTAATTATTTGGAGGACTACTTTGTACTTCTACTTGAGTAATATTATATTATTATTCATCAAGTAACAGTACTTTTACTTGAGTACAATTTTACACAGACACACACACACACTCTCTCTCTCTCTCTCTCTCTCTTTCTTCGTGCTTTACTCAACATTGTAAACATTTACTGTAGTGGAAGTTTACACCACACTGCTCCCTGGAAGGCGATAAATCCTGACACGACACGTAAAATAAGCAGCACTCATGAAAGCCGGGCCAGCGTCCTCTTTGATGCTCACACTTTGATTTCACACAGTCTTCCCACTCCAGTCCACTCCATCATTCACACTGAAACACAGTGGCCCTGGTCATCCTCAGTCTCCGGGCCCCGAGTCAGACATCCTCGAGTCTGGATTTCAGATGTGATGCGTTAGCTGAGCACCGTTAATAAACGTCAGTTTAGCACTTTGACCTCACTGGACATGATGGGGTCAAGCATTAGCAGGACGGGATCCAAAAACGGGTCACGACCGGGACATTAATCAAACACCTCCTCCTATTGATGTTGCAGCTGCTGCATTATTTACCAGACTTTCTGTGTTTGCGTTCCTGCCAGAACCAATGAGGGGAAGTGTCCTGCTGCGCCGACAGGACTGGAAATCGATGACTTCAAAAGAGAAGGAGGGCAAGAAAAATGTATTCAGGGGAAAATAAATTCTCTTCAGTACGCTGCGAAAATTAAGCATAAAAACTGGCTGCGTGATGACAAGTGGTTTCCCGAGACTTCTGAACCAGAAGTTTTACACAGTGAAATAATTAGGAGGAGACAAAGAGGTGATAACATCACATCTGAGCTTCACATCGAACGGAGTAGGGGAGCTTAGACGCAGAATCAAACGAGGCAGGGCGTCGTATCTGTGTAACTAATTAACAGATCTGTCAAGGTCCCGTGAAAGTCAGGCTTTTTCTAATTGTACAACCACAAATACTGCTTGATTAGATACACATGTCCAGCCGGTTATATATGTACTCAGTGGGGATGTCAAACTATTGTAGTTTTTGATCTGACTAAACGCCGAGTTCCTGTGGAACACTGACGATTAATCATGTCACAAAGAAAAAAGAGACGAATATGAAACTGGACAGGAAGTCGGTGGAGGACAAAGGTGATGCAGTAAATGTAGAGGTGATACGGTGACATGGTAATTATGATGTTCCCCGCGGCAGACTTCGTGACAAGTTAAAGTTTAGGAAGGGACTTTTGAGGGACAGCGAATAATGGATAATTACACAGGAGGCGACAGGACTGCGAACAAAGACGGCAGTGCGACTGAGGGGTGAGGAAAAGGGGGCGAAGATGATTAATGTCACGTAGGTGGGAATGTGCTGACCAGGTGTTGGTGTCGAGGTGAGGCTGAAAAGAAAGTATTCTGTCGAGGACGACACCTGAACGTTAACCTGAGGGGAGCCAAAGACAAAGGTTCTGTCAGTTGAATTGGAAGAACTGTTTAAAAGAGTTAGCGCTAATGCTAGCATTCTGACCATGGCAACGAAAGACACACTGTGAAACTGGAGACTCCTGGGCTGCACGCAGTAATGCAGTACTGCAGGTAAAATACTGTAAGCTGTACCTCATAATATGGTCTTTTTTTTCTTTTTTTCTGGCATATCAGCGGCAGCTCACACTTGTGATCGGAA